TACCATAGGGTGTCATGCTCAGTATAGAAACTGGGGGGAGTTTGCTGGGGGTCAGTGATCACTGTTCAGGGACAGGCTGGGCATTGGTCAGCGGGTGATGAGCAATTGCATTGTGCATCACTTGCTTTTCATATTCTATTTTTATTTTTATTATTATTATTTTATTTTATTTCAATCATTAAACTGTTCTTATCTCAGCCCATGAGTTTTTTCACTTCTACTCTTCTGATTCTCTCCCCCATCCCACCACGGGGCAGTGAGCGAGCAGCTGCGTGGTGCTCACTTGCTGGCTGGTGTTAAATCACGACAAGCGTATTTTCAGTCATTCCAGAATTTAGAGACCTGGTTAATCTAAAGACAAGAATCTGTATTTGTTTGCATCAGTACTTAGGATTGTGGAGAGTAAGCTCTGTGAATAAAATGGTGAAAACAAATCTATAATCCAAGAAAGTGATAATGTTTTTGTAGGCAACTGATGGGTGCACTTTTTTGTCATTTCTGCTTAGGAAGCGTTGCCAGCAGTTCAGGAGGAGCATCGCGGTTTACTCCAGGAGATTAAAACTATTCAAGATGATGAACATGCACTTCAGAAGGAAGCTCTTAATATTAAGCTGAAAATTGAACAAATCGATAGTCATATTTCTACACACCAGTCAAAGATTAAATATTGGCAAAAAGAGGTAGGGAGATTGTTTAGTTCTTAAAACTTGAACTATAAGATCTCAAAAGATTAATACATTAACATGTAGTTAGAAAACATAATTTGGGAGAAAATTCCTATTAAGATCACAGTTTATTGATGCTTATGCTATAAAAAGCAACTCTAAAAAATATGACCTTTCAGTCCTTTACTTTCTGGTTTACAAACAAGGTTACAGATTACATGGTTTAGCTTCTAGCTTTAAGTTGTTTTTATCTATGAAAGAATGGTGGCATAATTATAAGTGACGTAACACTATCTACGAGTAATGTAGAGCAATGAGGGAGAAATACATAGGTCATAAACAGCAACCAAGAGACTTTTTGTGCCTCAGTATCCTCTCTGTACCTATTAAAAAATGTTTTAAAAGGGTAGGCACCCTCACAGCTGAGAGAGGCAGAGAGGAGCAGGATGTTGATAACTAAAACACAAGTTCTGTATAACTGTATTCTGTGCTGTGTCCACTAAGCTGTTCTTTATAAAATGGCAAGACCTTTTCCTTGAAAGCATCTCACCTAAAACTTGTAGCCCATTTGGTACATCAGACTGCCTTTCCCCAGCTGTAGATACTGGGCCAACAGGAGCTCCATGGGGCCGGGAAGAAACTGCTCCTCAGAGACTGCTGCTTGAACCAGCCCATCGAATAAATCAGAGCCAGTGGGAACACAGAGTTGCTAACTGGGTGTTACTCCACCTGGGGCTTGCACCTGAGCAGCACTGCTGGCAGCCTTATTTCTTGCCGTCATGTCCATTTTAACTGCTCTTGTTCTGCTGAACGAGCCAGTTCTAAGCATTGTCTGACATTCAGTCTGTTAACTTCAGAAGTCTCTGATCACCCTCTGGGAAGGGCTTTTAGTTCTTCTGGAACCAATTCTGCTCGGAATCCTGACTTTTTCTGGCCCATAGGTTAGTGAGTGCAGAGTCAACAAGAAGCAATGCTGGGGGGTTGTCTTGCTTTGGTTTTCCTGGTTTAAGGAAAGAGCAAAAATCAGGCGTGTGCCCAGGGAAGCATGTTCAGAGAAAAGGCCAGTTCGGTGCCTGGAGCTCCTAAAGGCACATTATGGTTTTATTATGTGTCTGTTCTACTTCATATTTAAATCTTTAATAGAGGTAGGGTTCTAGATCAGCAGGTGATCTTGCAGTGCAGGGTGCCCTTCATACCCTTGTTAATTTGAGGATAGCAGGGGCAGCTACCCAGCAAGAAAAGCTGCTGTCAGAAACTTTTCAATCTTGAACACACAAAGTATTTAGTTATTAAAGTTCTATCAGTAGAGGCGAGTTCCTCATAATCTGCTACTGCTCCTATTACAGCGAAATCTCCTTTCCAAGAATGATGTATATAATTTTCAGGAACAGAGTAGTAAGATAAAAGAATATTTGTTGTCTCTTTCACATCTTAACTTCTGAAAGGAGTTATGTGAAGAATCTTTGTATGTTTTGAGATTGGAAGCTTCAGTATGTATTAATACAGAAAATGTTTTATTTCAGAAGCATGTTCGTGTGATAACTAATGTGATCTTTAAAGATTTCTAGTAACCAGGTTTGAATTTTAGATATCAAAATTATCGCTGCACCCCATAGAAGATAAGCCACCTGAAGAACTTCCAGTACTAAGTCAAGAAGAGCTTGAGGCTATCAAGGATCCAGATGTTATCACTAATCAGATAGCTCTCCTGGAAGCCCAGTGCCATGAAATGAAACCCAACCTTGGTGCGATTGCGGAATACAAGAAGAAGGTAAGCTTAATTACTGTCGTGTAGTAGGAGGTTTCATCTTTTTGATATTGCGCTGCCTGTTACTGCGCTAGCGTGGTACACCCCTCATCGAAGGTAAGCGTTGTGTATGTGGCTTTATTGTTCCTTGAATCTGCACAGAGTTCATGTCTTTGCTTCTGGAGTATGAGGTAACCTTCCAGTTGTGTGTTTTTTCTTCAAGGTGACTGCTCAAACGGATCCTGCACTTGAAATGCATGCAAAAAAAGTACTCTTTATCTAGGTGACAAAAGAAAGTATCTCATCCGTGAAAGGTGGTCCTGTTCTTCTTCAGTTCCCCTCTGCTGGAAACTGAAATGGAACCCTTGGTTTTTCCCATTCTCCTCTGCAGGCTGTGCTGTTGCTAGCATCTGGAATGTCTGTTAGCTCGTGTTTGTATGTTAGCTCATAAGTGTGGAAGTTGTATCTAGGAGCTTACATACACATTTTAGATTTGGTACCATAGACGGCAGGTGAACACTACTGTCTCCTGTGAAAGTTTATTTACAGTCAACTAGTTTTGACAGTCTAGACAGATACACAACAGTGCTAGGCTTTTTTTCTCCTCACAATACTCGCTTCAGTAATATTGGACTATTCAACAGATTTTTTTTTTATTATTATTTTAACACGGGTTTTCTGGTATAGAGAGATCAGCAGCATAGAATATAGAGATGAGAAAAAAGATGGTTTGGTTTTGTTCTTTTGTTTCGAGGTTGTAAGCCATCCTGGGAAACATGATTTTTCGAATGGTAGGAAAATGGTTTAAATTCTAAATTAAGGAGACAGCTTGTTTAACTCCACTGTTGTGGGTTTTCCTACAGGAAGAGCTATACTTGAAACGTGTGGCTGAACTGGACAACATTACCAACGAGAGAGACAACTTCAGACAAGCTTTTGAAGACCTTAGGAAACAAAGGCTAAATGAATTCATGGCAGGATTTAATGTAATAACAAATAAACTGAAGGAAAACTACCAGATGCTTACTTTGGGAGGTGACGCTGAATTAGAACTTGTGGACAGTCTGGATCCCTTCTCTGAAGGAATCATGTTTAGGTTTGTCAAAATACTTTGTATTATTGCTCTAATTCTTAATTGTTGTGTTTCTTTTTTCAACCTGCTTTTAAGTAGATTTTTACTGATTGTCAGCTAACCAAGACAATCCTCCCTCTTGGCAACTACTGGCAAGGTACTGACAGAAGCCACAACTTTTTAGCATTGGGTAACAAAGAGATTAATTTCTCCTGCAGAAAAAAGTAACTGACAGCCTTTAGAGAGCTTCAAGTTTGCTGAAGTAATTTCTCAGGGTTTCTTCATTCCCACATCATTTCATTCTGCCTAGGGAATCCTGTCAGTCACGTTGGTAACTGAAGATTGTTCTGTCCTAAATGGTCCTAAGAGTTATATTTGTTACTTAAGAGTAGAATAGTACTTTTAGAAAGATAATTGAATAGCAGCTTCTAAAGAGTTATAGTTCCTACAGAGAATAGCCGAGTGTCACAGTAGTTTGTGTTCAGGCAGACATCAGCTGACCACAGGGCTGTGCACGCACCCAGGGAGTTACTCCTTGGTGAAGAGAAATAAACCAGTTCGCTACCTCTCATCTGTGGAGGACTGAGAGTATCAAGCAACTCATCCATGGTTTCAGTTGAGCTTCTTTGTGTCTTCCAAGAATTCCCTCCTGTCTTGTGACTTGTCACCATGACTTATTTATTTTCATCACGAACAGAAATTAAGTTACAAACTCTAATTTCTTTCAGTGTTCGGCCTCCGAAGAAAAGTTGGAAAAAGATATTTAACTTATCAGGAGGAGAGAAGACTCTTAGTTCACTGGCTCTAGTTTTTGCTCTTCATCATTACAAGCCAACGCCACTTTATTTTATGGATGAGATTGATGCAGCACTTGACTTCAAAAATGTATCTATTGTAGCGTTTTACATATATGTAAGTATATAACGATAACTACTTAGAGTATAATTTTTCTAAGATATTTTCTCCTCTGCCAGAAAAGACAAAGTGGTGACACAGTTATGGCCAGATTTAAAAATCTGGAATGATAGAGTATTTTTGAATAATTAAATGGAAACTATGTACTAAGCAGACTTCCAGAAAGGTGCTTAGAAGGTTGCTTTCCGCTTATTTTTTCTAAGCTGCTGAGTTTGATGCTTTCCTGAAATGAGGCAACTAATAGAGGATTTACAAGTCTTTTCTCTCCAAATCCTGCTTGTATAATTTCAGAAGCGCTCTAAGGAGTGCTAGAGTTTGCCAAAGGTGCCACGTTTCCATCTGTCCTTGCTGCTACAGCTTTCTCTTTAAAATACAGATACTTTCCCCGAAACAATCAGCTGTAAGCAGCTGAGATACCGTAACTTACTTAGCTCTTAGTAATGTGTTCATGTATCCAAGCTCATGATTTCATTCTCGGGTACAGCCAAGGTTCCTTGGTTTTATCCTTCCATTTCATTAACAGGAGCTGTTTCCCATAAGCTGCTTTGATCTCTGTCTGTCTTTATTAGTGGGGTTTTTTTCTTTCACGCCTTTAAAAATTCTGTCATCACCATATTTAAGTCAAGCAAATATTTACATTGCTACAGTTCTGGTTACTAATTTAAACTTAAAATTTTCAGAATTACCTAAAGTATAACCACCAGGTTTGGGAACACCCTAGAAGTGCCAAAGATTAGGATTAGCTACTTAATATTAGGGAAACACTTTGAAGATGCCTGTCTGCACCTGTAATTTTAAACTTTGCTACTACAACCCCTGTATTTTCACACAGGAGGGTCCATCACCCAGATGTGATTTGATAGAGCAAAGAGTTTAATTTTAACTGCAGTGTAGACTAACACTTAAATTTGAAACTTAGTATAGTTTAGCTCTTAAATGCCAATTATAGGGTAATATGTAGCTGTAGCTCATATTTTGTATACTGAATTAGTGCTAGCCTAGGAGAAGAGATTGCAATTGATACTCTAGCCAGGTTTATTACATCTAGCCTGAAGTTTTTTAACCTCGTCAAACTATATGTAAAGATAAAACAAGCGTGCACATTGTGTGTGCTATATGTTCCCTCAGAGTGATTATGGCTGCTTCGTTTAAATAGAGATAGGTGCCCAGCCCTGGGGTCCGCACCCCTGAGTAGGCTGCACCCACGTCTACCTCAGGGTCACAGAACTGGTGTTGGTCAAGGCTCGTCCTCGTTAGCGAAGGGCTTGCTCTCCCCCTCTCGGTGCATGGAAGTGGCTTTGGTTTCCTTCTCGTTCTCAAAGCAACCCTTGCTAAAACAACTCCGCTAACTTGGTAATACCCGCCTTTGGTAAGCCTCATGGAATTTGTGCTAAAACTGTGGTGAATTGCAACTCTGGAAAGAAATGATGTATGTTTAATTGAATTCACTTGAGTAAGTCAGGTAAAAGATAAAAAGAGGAAACTTGAGCCTAAGTGAATTGCAGTGCTTTGTGCTGATAGCCAAGCCGGGAGCGTGTTGTGCATGAACTGATGATGGACAACAGGAGCTCTGAGGCCTCATCACCCGTGGATTTGCTGAATGACAGAACTACTTGTAGGGATACATTCCTTAGTTCCTAAAACTGCAGATAGGGATCATACAAGAACAGAGCTTTTTGAAATACTGTGGGCTAATACAAGTAACTTCTCTTTCAGGAGCAAACAAAAAATGCACAATTTATCATCATCTCCCTGCGAAACAACATGTTTGAGATTGCAGACAGATTAATTGGAATTTATAAGACTCACAATACCACGAAAAGTGTGGCCACAAACCCCAAAATTATTGCATCGAAAGGACTGGCTGAACTTGGCGCTCCTGCGTATAGCATAGCTCAAAAATAAAGTGGAATAAACTTCCTTTCTCATTGCTGCTGTTTCCTTTCAGCTAATATACCTTTGTATTTGAGATTTTTTTATTTTCTTTGATCTTATTAATAGAACTGGCCTCAATAAATTCTGGTTTTTAATTATACAGTCTACATAGATAGTAATTCTATGAACCGAGTAAAAAAAAAAAAGCTACTTCTCAAATTATCTATCTAGCTACACTTTAATATTTGCAGGTAGACTTGATGTCAGTGCTTGGGTTCTGCATTTGGTTTAAATGCCTGTTTTTTCCTGTTTGTATTAAAGTAAGCACATTGCTTTGAAATGTCACCAAAGTGTCCTGGAACATTTTATTATGAGATCCAGTAAGTCAAGTCAGTATACAAAATGATTGACATGTATATACACATACATGTATATACATACTCATACATATGATGTAAGGATGCTGTGTGAATGCTGCACGCTCTGGGAATCAGATGTTTGTAGCCATTTTGTAATGAATTGGTGCAGTTTAGAAAGCTGCTCTTGGGTTATTTTTCTCTCCCCTCCTGTAGGGATGACTCCTCCCTCTCTCCGCGGCCACGTTGTACACTCTGGGTTTATTAACACAGTAATTGCCATCTGCTCGCTTCTCCAGTCATTCCACAATTCCCAGGGAAGAGGTGAGGTTATGTGCACCTGCACCCCGTGCCCATTGCTTACCTAGCTGTTAGTTCTCCATTTCCATCAGCATCTTGTCAATACTGCAGAGTACAGGTTTTGCTTTGAATCTGATTTTTTTTATACTTTAAGAACTGAAATGGGGTGTTTTACTCCAAGAGTCAGGCCAGTATCTGGCATGCTCAGCTAGCACTGCTCCCCAAACTAGAAGTGCCCCTCTCTGACGGCGGCCGTGCTTCCTGCAAGGGAAAGGAAAAGCGCTCGATCACTGCTGTGCTGCTGGTCAGGCAGAGGGCCGGCCAGCCCTGCCCCGCCAGCTCCCTCTGCTCTGTGCCCTGGTCCTTGTCCCCAGTTCCAGCTCTTGCTTTTTCATAGCAAGCACGCTTTACAAAACCTGAGTTTATCCTGCTTTTGTTGCCGTAGGCCTGAGTCCAGCTAAACGCTGTGTGATGGACCCAAACCTAGGGAAAGCCTCCCCCTATCCTAAAAGGCACAATCACCAACATGGAGCAGAACTGGAAAACAAAAGGGGGGGTGGTGCTGTAATAACTTGCTCTGAAGTGTAGAGCTAAGCTTTCACTGAAATGTTAAACACTAAGATTATATCAAATTATTGTCAGGTAAAAATAAAGTGATGTGTATGTATGTGCACTACCCAAGCTGCTGTCAGGAAGAGAGAGAGCTGTGCTACACCTGGGCAGTTTTCAGAAACCACAGCTCAGCAACAGTCACAAGCACAACACGAGATGAGAAAAACCAAACTGCACAACCCCTCTCTGGCACAGCCCCGCTCCAGCCAGGAGCGCTGGGCACAGTTTTGGTTTTCCCATCTCTGGAGGAAGCTGGAAATGTTGCAGTGCAGCTTCAGGGTAGAGGTAGGGGCGAGATCAGCCAAGACCAGAGGGGCAGCACCAGAGGGGCAGCCCTTTTCAGAGCAGCAGGGGAATAACAACGACCCAACTCAAGCAGCAGAAAGGAAAGCTGCAGCGGGGCGGAACACAACAGGTAAGCACAAGCGCTCCCACGCTCCCACTAAGGTGGCATCTTTGAATGTTTGTGAAAGTGCAGGAGGAGCTGCAGGGCAGGATAATCCCTTGGGTAACCAGCTAGGGAAGGTGAGTAAGGGAACAAAGCACTGTTTCATCTGCAACAGCCATTCCTGAAGGAGTGACGTTCCGAGTACGCTGTCAGAGGCCACCTCGGTGTCTCAGCACCCTGTGCTGTTCTCAGTGAGCTGCTTGGACACCTGGAAACTTACGTCTCTTCCCCCACTGGGTCTTAACACAACCTTTTCAACCAGACTTCCCCTCTAAAAATTAAAAAAAAAAAAAAAAAAAAATCTAAAACATGGCTTGCAGTAAGAACGACACTTCTGGAACAAGGTTTCAAAAGAGGGTCGTTGAAAAAAATGAGAAAAAACTCACCCTAGGTTTGCCAGGGTACAAACCCTTCTCGCACCTTAATTAAAAATGCAGTACAAAATTTTTTTCTTGAAAAAGTTCCATCTCTTACATGGAACTCAGCACGCAGGACTTCTACCCAGCACAGGTGACAAAGAGCAGGGCTGAAGGAGCTCATCTCAGCTGACCCCACGGAGTCTTGGGGTGAGAGGAAAATGAGGAGCTGCTTACAGCACTTCCCAGGACAGGCCTGCGCTGCACTCCAGCAGTTACCGCGCTAGCGCAGTCAGACGCTGTTGGATAGAGAAGTCAGTAAAACAGGCCTGTGGTGGGCAAGGTGAAAGCCACTGAAACCCACATCGACCCACCTCGTGACATGCCCTTTCAGAGAATCTTCCTAAAGTTCACGCTGGAAAAAAAAGGGGCACTTGGAAGAAAATGAAGCCGCCAGACAAGCACTGCTGAGCGCCACGTTCCTGCTTCGGGGAGACCCGCTGCTCCCTCTCCTCACCACTTCAGCCCCGCGTGTCGGTGCTGGTTAGGACCACGGGGAAGGTTCTGTGCAGTAAGGAAATCAAGGTGTTAGCCAATCCTACTGGAAGAATATATTTTATTTGTATGCAAATTTATTAAAATACATAGTGCATTTGAAGTACAAGTACTAAACATTTCAATCAGTGATAAAGGCATCTTATAAATCCCGGTAGTCTTGAAAAATAAAATCGCATTATAAACTCTCTGTAAGTTTTTAAAAGTCAGGAAAATAAAAGGGAGGTAAGTCAATCAAAAAAGAAGCCTCATGTGGTAGTAGACAGACACTTAGCACCAGGTTTTGAGACTTACATGCCAAGTGACAGCCTTCCAGCAGGGCTTAAGACAAAAACGAATTCCCAATTTTACTGGGAAATTAATATGACAACATTTATCCAGTCCTAGGATACACCTAAACATCATTTCAAAACCTGACCAGTGGTATTGATGGGATTTGCCTTCGTGAACTCTAAAAGATTACAGAAAACGTACAGAAAATGTACAAATTCTAGAAACCACTCCTAATGTGCAGGCAAAGGCCCACCCCCCTGCAGCGCTGCTGGCTCCTGCCTCAGTCAAACCTGGGCAATCAAACCCACCGAGCTGCAGAGACTCAGTGTTTTATCCACACAGCAACGTTAGGATACCAATATTGTCATTAGGATCTTACGTAGGCTTAAGGAATGCATCAGCATCGCCTCCAAGGCCTGACCTTGCTCTCAGCCCTCACTGAAGTCTGGCAGCAATTGTTATTTTGCAGGACGCCATTAGCATCTGCTGGTAGCAACGAGCAAGTCTGGGGTTGCACAAGGCTTTAAAATACCAAGTAGTTAAAGGCTAGCCTCCAAATTCAATCGCTATTTAGACAACTTTTATTATTTAAAAATATACAACAGCCAAGGGATGCTGCTGTGCTAGAATATGCTATTATTTTTATCAAGTCAAATACAATTAGACATAGCGAACACTGGTTTTTGGGTTTTTAGTGAATCATAAGCTCACCTGTGTTCTGCAGCGCTTGAAGGCTGTCCCAGTACTTACTGTAATCAGCCTGTTAATAACTGGAGACTAAAAATGGCTTTTGCTGGGGGTTTCGCTCCTGAGCACAGTTTAGGCTGGAGCATCTCATCAGAAGTAGTGAAACGAAATGCTATCATCACATTTCCTCTATGTCAAGGTAAAGACCTCCATTATTTGTGCTGAAAAGCTGAATATAAATTTAGATTCATTGTTAAGTTGGTTTAAGAGCTCTTGACATTAGAAATCCTTATACCACTGACTTACTTATACCACTCTACAGTGGGAGGTTTGCTACTTACTACAGTATGTATCTATTTTCACTACATATTAAATGATTTAGCAAAAAGTCAGGGCTCATTTTAGTAAGCAGCGAGAGCTCCCTGCCAGACTAAAGAAACCCCTGATTTATGCACAGCTGCACTAACAAACTGTACGTAATAGTTCACCAGAAGTCCTACACATACTGCTCTGTAACGTGGAGAGAACCATTTGAAAGACACAAAATTAAAAAAAAAAAGATTAAATCACATCATCCACTAGTAAGCAGGAAGAAATAAAATGAAACCTGGGGCCATGAATATACACTTTAAAAGACCACAGGTGTATCAGTTAAAATACATTCAGAGAGAGGTCAATAAGACACAAAATAGGAGTTTTATATGCAGCTAGTGACTGGCCCATCCAGGACTAGCCAGTGTGCAGCCTGAGGTGGTTTTTTAACCTTTAATGTTGGAGTGGTTTTATAAAAAAAAAATTTAAAATTACGTTACCAAAAAAAAAAAAAAAATCTGTGAAGAGTTTTTACAAACACGACACCCAATTACAATTTGTAAGCTGATTACAGCTTGCTTAGGAAGACGTTGTTCCTGATTATCTTCCAGTTTGAACACACCCCAACCTACCCACCTTACTGTGTGAGCAGAAGAGGAAGCCTTTTTTGTTGCAGATCTCCTCAGTTAACTAAGAGTTAGCCAAGAGGAAATCTACAAAATACAGAAAAAGGGAGGATAGGGAAATATAAAGGAAAAGGGTAGAGCCTTAACAATCCAGCTTTTTAAGTTGAAATTAAAAAAAAAAAAATAAAATCCTGTGCATTCCTACACTAACTCTTAATCTCATCATTGAAATAGTCAAAGAGAAACAACTGTCCCCCAAAACTCCATCAGTAAATTAAATGTATGGCACAGCACATCCACTATATTCTGCAAATGGGTGCAGAAATCTTGATAAAAAAGCAGCACGAATTCTGAGATATAAGTGGGAGTAGCTTTGATTACAAGTGATGATACCGGTTTGTGAAATGAAAACACAGTTACCACCACCATTATAAAAAGAAGCAGGACTGCTAAAGGATTTACAGCCTGGAAGAGTTCTTTAGATTCTCTTCCTTCCCTTCCGCTGCCTTTGCTGCGTAACTTCCTTTTCGGAATCAGTTTTATTTTTGGAGTGAGGATCTTGTTGATCTGACCAATTTCAGTTTTAGACCACACCTCTTTCAGGAGGTGCCCGATCCTCGGATAAATCTCCACAGGTTTAACATCCGGCAGTTGCTTCTGTTTCAAAGCTTGTATACGTTGATGCATACCATCCACCTTCTCAAGAAAAATAAGCGGGGACTCTTCTTTTTGAATCGCTGTATTCAGTGACATTAATTCCAGCTGCTCTTCCCTTATTCTTTTCAACTTCTCAATGAGAGGCTGATACTCTTCCAAGATCTGTGTGTTAATTTCATCCAGCGCAGTCAGCAGAGCTTGTTTTTTGTGCTCCAAGGTATCGCTCAATTTCTTAAAATACCGTACTACTACTTTTTTATCATCCTGAACCATGCTTTCACAGTGGGACTTCTGTTCTTTCAGCTTTTCAATAAGCAAACACACATCACTCCAGTGTTTATCAGTTAGCTGCTCGAGAATTTTTCCAGAAGTCTCCTTTTCTTTTATGTAGGCACTTTGAAGGTCATCTATGGGATGACCGTTGTGTTTTCCTATTGTAAGGCAATGGCCACACACCAATTTTCTATCCAAAAGACAGTAAACATTCAGCGGTTGCCTATAGTGTTCACTGCAGGTCGCAACGTCAGAGTGATCTTCCTGCTGGTATTTTTCAATAATAGCTTTCAGTGCAAAGTTGACAGGCAACGATTCGGTACCAGCAGCAGGGATTTCAACAATACTCCTACAGTTAGGACACTTCAGAGGAACTCTCAAGGGTCTCCAAATGGAAAAGTTGCTTGACAGCTGAATGACACCTTCCAGACAGTTCCTACAAAATGTATGGGAACAGGGCAGAACACGTGGATCCTCAAATATGCTATAGCAAATGGAACATGTTAGTTCTTCCTCAAAGTGATGCATGTCCTACGGAAGAAAAACAAAGAGAAAATACGTTTTAATCTCATTTTACAATCAACTCATTTAAAATCATTTTATTAACCTAAGTGCCTCAGCATGACACTTAATGACCAGTAACACTCGGAATTTATTGCTAAGGGGAAAAAAAACACAAAACCAGAATGAAAGTGAGCAACAGTTTAAAGATTTCAGCACATTATAATCTGCACTTATGATCTAGGTGACTAGACAGTGTTCACCCATATCCAACTTCTGCCTTAAAAAGCTAGGAAAAGCAGCAATCTGCTACTAGGTATTTTTTACAATGGGAAACAAGAGTGATAAAAATTAGAACTAAAGTTTCTACACAACCTAAGAATCATGAAAATTTTCTCCCACTACAAGTAACATTTTCAACGTAAGAACAGAACAGTAAATACCGAAACTTCTTTTTCTCCCCTAACTTTTTTCAAATGTTACTTTTGTAATATAAATAGCCATTTGAGTATTAACCAGTCAAATTTGCGAAAAACTACCTCTAGGTTCTGGCACAAATGAGAGTCTAACTCAATGGCCCTTAAACACAATACCACCAACAGTAATTACACTCGTGGTGTTATTCCCGGGTTACTTTAAGCACAAAACTAAAAAACTAACTTTCGTTTTCCATCCTTTGTAACATTGCCTTGTTTTTCTTTGCCAGCTTAGTGAAATCACACTGTGAAGTCACAAATAACAATAACTCTAATGCCAGTTTTCAGAATAAATCATAATTCTGTTTTTTATTCTGTAAAAAAAAAATAATGGGGAAATTAGGACAAACTGTCCTTATCTTTGAGTCACGTTTTCCTGTGCCCCTCATCAGTTCTAGTCAACTCTGTAGACTTTGCTACACCACAAAAAGAAACTGTCCAAGCATTTAGTATCAAAGATTCTCAATTTAGGGCCTAACGCTAAATCTGAAAACAATAACATGCAGCTGGGCTAACGCAGCTGCACGAAGTGCTAGCGAACCTTTGTTTGATTCAGTCAGGAAGATAACCAGCTATGAGATGTTTTTAAGGAGACTATTTTATTCAGATGTGCCCTCCTAATCTTTTTAATGCATTAACATATTTTTGCATCCATCTATCAGCATTTCTCATTGACACAGAATTAAAAAAAAGTTTGATTTATTTTAAGCAAATCTACTTAAAATGAATGGAATTGTTAAGAATACTCTCCTTTGAAAATAAAGCCTTAATTTGCATTTGGAATCATGAAAGCCACTAAGGATTAAATCTGGCACTAACTAATAAACAATTTACAATAAATAAATGAAGCAGCACTGTTCCTGCAAAAGGCACAGAGCTAACCTGATGGAAGTCAGACCCTGGTTCTTTGAGAGTTAAATCATCTCTGAACAGAGAAACCTATTCTGGTTGTACAGAAATAAGCCTGGCTTATCTCACTTTATTGAGATAGGCTTGTACAGCAAAAAGTGAAAGTGTTCAGCAAAGTCTGACGAGATTTCTTTTGCCCTGCAAAACCAGACTGAATAATAATTAAAACAAAGCAAAACAAAATCTAATGGCCGCCTCCACCCGAAAAATCGAGTTCAATTCAAGGAGGTACTTATGTTGTTTTTCGAGCAAGTCAAACAATTTCGATGCATTCAGCTTTTAAAAAAGATAAAAATCTACCCAACACTCTTCAGGTCATTTCTTCGGCTAATTAATATAAAATGTTCTTTCACACATTTTTAACTGCACTTTTTAAAGAGACCTTGACAACAGTTGGAAGAAAAGCTGCTAGAGACAGACATAATTCTTGAGAACTACCCTTAAAAGCAGCATTATGAAGTGTTAGCATTTATAACTAACTAGTGTATTCTCCTAGTTAAAGAGAACTACTATAAAGTACTACAGACATTTAGCAAAAGACATTCACAACGCTTTGACGCTAAACTTACTTTTGCACTGCACTGTTCTCAGTAAAGACCATGAGGTATTTCTCTTTTTACTGGTGAGCCACAGACCTTTATTTTCCAGCTTTTCCAATCAGCCCCTGTGGCAATGGTAGGTTCTTTAGGTCTACATATTAGTAATTTCACATTTCTACATGGTGTTTCAGACACTGAAACTAAAGAAATGTGTCAGTAATGAAAGGAAGCCGAACAACAGATCTACTCCACTGTCTAGATAAATTATTTTTTTTGAGAATTAATTTCCACAGGAAATATATTTAAAGGTTTTATTTTATATACATATATATTTTAAAAGTGATGAATCTCAGGAATATCACTTTCACTTAAACAAAAGAAAAAATCAGTTAAGTTTTTGCTCATAATTAGAAAAGACAGAACCCTTCGTAGGTACTCTCATTCATTATTTTCTCTTATGTAGATATGAAATGAATATAGGTTTTAAAAAATCTCTATGTTTAAACCCACTATTTTTTCCTAAATCTAGGGCTGTAGTTCTCTTCAAAGGAACTGTTACAGGAGGGAAATTTTCTTTATAAAGAACACACATCTAGCTTATCTGAGCTATATAAAGGGCAAGATAAAATTAATCTTCAAAAAACTGTTTTAACTGCAAAGTAGTTGCTTCCTACCATAAAAACAAAGGAGCAACTTTACAAAATTTTTCTTAGCTCTATCATGAATCACACCTCACCCTCTGCAGGAGTAACCTCCCCAACCAGGCAGTGCCTCCCCCAGCAAACCCAGGCCCCTTGCCAGAAGCCCGTGCAGGTTAAAGCTGCGACAAGCCAGTCAGCCAGCCCGGAGGCCCGCGGTCGCTTCAGGGCCATTTCATAACATGCGTAGCCGCTAGCCAGAGGGACTGAAATTCCCATTTCCACAGAAACTTACCGCCCTGTTTCCCAGGCAACTGAGAAATGTAAAGAGTGACAGCAGTTGCCTGCTAGCGAGCAGCTCTGGAAGGCCAGGCGGGCCACGCTAGGGCAGGAGCCTCGGCTCTGGGCTCTGGCCATGGGCCGGGGCTGCGTGGGGCCTCCCAGGCACCTCCAGAAAAAAGGGCACTTCATTTCTTAGTTATTATTCATCAACTTCAAAACAGTATTCTGAATACTAACGTCGCTCTTTGCTATAGGCACCTGTGGATTTTTTAATTTATTCTAGACAAGTACTCCAGAGGTGTGCTGGGGAAGCAAAAGGTAGAAATCCTGAAATCCACTTTCATCCTGCACTGGATGGAGGAAATAACCTACATGTGAACAACAGTGGAAGTACATCAGCAGATGGTTATCAGAGCGACTGGGAACACCAACTAAAAGACAGAGAAGCCCAAACATCACAGAGTTAAGCAAAGAGAAAGGAAAACTCTTCCAGGAAAAAAAAAAGTAAAGTAGCAGGAAGCTGGTAAATGCTTTCCTGAACAGAGCAGATACTATTCCTTAAATGTTCCAAAAAACTGTGGTAGCAAACGTGTGTGTGTATATACATATTTATCATAAGAGTCACTCAATATAAGCAAGTTACAAACTAGAAGGCATTTTAAAAATTCAAAAGGGTAACTGTGCCAGTGACACAGTGAGTTTCAGAAATCTTCCAGCAACAGGCCTGCTAAGTGGCTATAATTTTATCCTCTTCTAATTAGTGATACTGTAGATGAGGTGAAAACATGTAACACAGCACACCTCTATTACAGTTTATCTGCCAAAGCTTTCAGTTAAGCACATCAAAGCAACATTGTGCATTCCTTGATACCAGTCTGTTCCTCACCTAGCCACCAGGCCACCGCTCATCCAGCCAATTATGCTGGACGTTGTTTAGAAACAAGTTTATCTGGAATACAGCATACGTCAGTGTTTAGGTAGATAAATAATTAACTACTTTACAGCAAAAGCCAGCTGTAACAAGCCAATACGCCCCATTCTACTCTGGAGGATTTTAAAAGGCGAATTTGGCATGGGGTAACAGTTGTGATAGCCTAAAGAGTGACAAGGGGCACTTAAGGCAGACCCTCCCCAGGCACCTGGTGCTGCCAGGCTCCTGCTGCCCACCCCTGCACACCACTGCCAGAACTGCTCTCTCCCGAAGGACACGGGTGCCGTAACACTCGACTCGACTTTCAATACCGTACTGTGCTTAAACTAAATCCATGTCACAAATGCTGTTGCCCCATCCCGTAGAGGTCCATGAAGCCCTCCAGTAGCACCAGCATAAAAGCTCAAGTTTGTGTTGTACAAAACTAAGAGATTAAATGACATTGTGGGCAGTGTTTTCCATTTATAAGTCACCTTCACGGTAAAGGGTGACAGAAATTTTTAAAAAAAACAGAAGGCCGAGGTGCAGCTCCAGTGTTTGTCGATGCATCAAAAGGAACAGAGCCTGCTACACAGCTGCCAGGTTTGCTGGTTATAACAGGCCAGGCACCAGACATCAGGAACAATGGCTTGACCTTAAACCTTTCTGTTCCAGCCCATTTCGGCTGTACTGCTTTACCCCATGCCACAAATAGCCCATGCCCAAGTCACAGCAATTCTCAACCAGGGATGTTCTACCCCTAATTCCTATTCCTACCACAGCTACTACACCACCATCCCGGGTTTTTACATGTTTCTTATGTCCTGAAAGGAGATGAGCACAGCTGAGAAGCCCATCTATGTCAAGCTGACCTGACAATTCCCTCCTGTATAACCCTCCTCCCTATCTGCTATTACAAGCAGCTTCCACAAGTTGCCACATTCAAAAAACAACCGTACTGCTCTGTCCTTTCTGCACCCCTATTCCGCTGCCGAGATTTGCTCTCCATCCCTTACCTCCTCAACTCTGGCAGAGCTCCTGGGCTCCAGCACTCACTCGTCATTTGCCCCTCAGCATCGGGCAGCACAGCCAGGAGAATCATAGAATGTTTTGGGTTGGAAGGGACCCCCAGAGGTCATCTAGTCCAACCCCCCCGCAGGAGCAGGGACACCGCTAACTAGATCAGGCTGCTCAGAGCCCCATCCAACCTGGCCTTGAAGGAAGAAGGAAGGCAACACCCTGACCTGCAGACCCTCAGACAATTGGGCAACTAGCAACGACGGGAACCGTGCCTGTACCAGCAGCTGGGGAGAGGGATCAAGGCAGGCAGGAGAAGCGGTCAGGTACCTGAGCCCGGAGATGCCGCCTGGCGGCAGC